TCCACGACCAGGACTGACCTGGCCAAACCTAACCAGAAGGGAGGCTGGGAAATACAACAGCTGGGTAGCAATGCATCCAGCTAAAACTTTCATGTTATAGAATAGTGGTTTTGAAATCTGGCTACACAACAGAATCGTCTGGGAAACTGAAAAGGAGACAAAAAAGTATGCCCTCCCTCAAGACCAATTAAATCAGAATCTTTGGGTGCAGGGCTCAGGCTTCTGCTTTATAAAAAAGCTCCCTAATGATTTTGATGCAGGTCAAGGCTGAGAACCACTGCAACAGAAGGAAGAACATTTAGAGGAGGGTAACTACCAACCTCTATCATACTCCCTTTCATTACTCCCAACTGAACCACTCACTCTGCCCCTCTCCACCCTGCTAACTTGTCATCCACTAGTTCAATCTGTGTTCTTCCAGACCTTTTTTTTTTAATGAATTTACAAATAAACACATACACATATGCACATGTCTTAACACTCAATAGCAACTCCAGAATTTCTATGTAGGTGGATATTGAGATAGTAATATTACTGGAAAAGTGTGAGCCTCTATATTTGTCTGCATGTCACTTTATAGTAATTTAAGAACACACAAATTACCTATATTGAACAATGGAGAGATAAGATGGAGAATTGAGGTTGTGGGAGAGCTAAAACCTACCTAAGCTATCTCTTGGTTCAGTCCATACAAGTGTTATATATTGAATTATTTATTTTTTTCCTGTGGTTTGAAATCCCATCTCTATTACATATTAAATTTCCATCTCTATGAAGATCTTTTTTAAAAAAACAAATCTCTATTCCGTTAGTTCAGATTGCTATTGCACACTGACACTTGCTCACTTTTTTACATGTAATAACTTCTCTCCTGTTTCCTGCCACCACCACCGCTCACCTCCACTGCAGGGTAAATATTTAAGATGTGTTGGTGATGCTGTGTGAAAGATCATGTATGAGGTATGGGAGGCTCTTAGTAAAGGTTTCATGTTCCACCTGAACTTTTTATGACAGTGAGAGTAAGAGCTTTTGTTCCGAAACACTATTTTCCTCCTCGGCTACCACAGCCCTCCAGCCTCCTGCCATGACAGACTTTCTTGAGTTCTGCTCAGATAGAAAAGAATGTTTTTCTAACATCCCCGAAAGGCCATCACTCCAATGTCGTTCCCTGCTTCTTAGTGAACACACTACACTAGAGTTGAAGAAAGTTATAAGGCAGCAAAAAAGTAGTTTCTGCTTCAACTTGCAAATATTTTTAATCTCCTAAAAATAAACCATGAGCTGCAAATAGGCAGGCATGTTCCAGAACTGTGTTTCCTAAATTAGTTATTTCTGAGGAGATGAAGAATACATTTTGTTTTTCTGCTCAGGGCCACCTGCTTGTGATTCAATCTGTGATTCCACACTCTATCTTTTTGCCATTCCTTGTTTGTTTGGATGCAGGCATATTCCCTCAGAAAAATTGGAAAGGTTTGTGCTTTGGAAATGAATTATAAATGAGATTCAAATCTTTGTGTTGAAGGGCTTGAATTTCTGCCATGTTTCTATTGGAACATGACTCTATTCTCTTCCTCATGTGTTTGAAATTCCTGGTTTCATGTGTTCTCAAGTTTACTTAAATACACAGTCTCCACCCTCATGGAGCTAATAGTCAAGACATCAAGGGTAACTTTCTTTTTTATGAATTTTATTTTTAATTATAGCTGACATACAATATTATATTAGTTTCTGGTGTACAACATAATGATTAGACATTAAATAGCTAATGAGTGTTAAATACCCTATAATGAGTATTAAAACAATTTCTAGGTTTTTGCTACAAAACAATGCAGCAGTGAAAATCTGTCTATCTATATTTATATTAGAATAAGTATATCTTTGTGCATGTGTGTATAAAATAAATTCCAGAAGTTAAATCGTTGAAGCAAAGAATGTGCACACCTGTACTTTAATAGCTGTTACAGCCAAATGGCCCTCCAAGCAGTTGTACCAGTTCATACTCTCAGTAACATAAAATGAGAACTCCTGTTTCCCCAACCCTCTGTGACTAGTGCGTTATCAATTTTTTTTTGTAGTTTCCAAATTTATTTGGAAACAGTCTAATTTCAGTGTACGTTTTTGGTTGTAAGTGAGATTGAATATCTTGTTATATAGTATAGAGACATTTGTATTTTCTGTGAAATGCCTGCTCATGTTCTTTATCATTTTTCTTTTGGGAAATTAGTGTATTTCTTATCAATTTGTGAAAATTCTTTATCTAGAAAATTAGCCCTTTGTCTATTACATATCTTGGAAAGCTTTCTCTACTATTTCTCTACTATTTTCTCTACTATCATTGAATGTGTTTATGATACTCCTGAGAAACAGAAAGTTATAGTTTTATGTAGTCAAATGTAATGTTTTTATGATAAAAATATTTGAGATTATTTTTTAAATTCTTATTTAAAAAATATTTTATGGTTTCATTTATTTTGCATTTACTTAGGTGATCTATTTGGAATTTAGTAGGTGTGAGATAGGGGTTCAATTTTTTTCCAGCTGGCTTGCTAGCTGTCCCAACTTGCAATTCTTCCTCAATATAAACCCCTGCAGCAACATTTTCAAAACTGTAAAAACTTCTTTATCTGATCTAAACAGATTAACTGTCTCTCTGGCCATTGTGCAAAACAAGTGTATTCAAAACCATTGTGCACAGACATTTAATTTGTGGGTGTAGGGTATGTAATCCAAGATAGAGCCTGACGATCCCTCCCTCTATGTTTACTTGGGAGGGGAAGGAGAGCCATTCATGCGGGCCTCTGCAACCAGTCAAGGTAGCAAGTCTAAAACCAACCTGTACATCACAGGTTTGAATGGAGTTTACAATACAGAGCCCAGATCGGGAGAGCAGGGGAACCAGGAAAACAGAAAAAACGTCCTAGCAGAGCCTTGCGGGGCCAGCCAGATAGCGGGTTCCAGGAGACATACAACCTGGGTGCTTGGGGAGGGCTGATCTTTGGAAAGGGCAAGGTGAGGGGAGGCTTCGCATTTGCATTTCTGTCCTCGGCAAGCAGTCCCGCAGTAATTCCCCATCTGATGGTGAAATTCGAGCTCAGCTTTCACTTGCACAAGAGGGTGGGGCCAGGAAGTTTGATAGCCATAGAAGGTAGCCCAGGCCTTCCTCGGAGAAATGTGAACTGAAATATACTTTCCGAAAGAATTCGAGTTAATGTTGAGATAGCATTATCAGTTTATAAATAAAAATACATACCTCTACTAAATCAGACCTAAAAGTAACAATGACTAAATTGGTTAAGTTAGTTCATTTCTTCTTTATCAATGAGTATGAGGCACTGTGCTGAGTCCTGGGAGATAGAAGAATAAGATTCCTGCCTGCCAGGTGCTTATCTAGTTGGAGTGCAAGGAGGTGGGAGACACAGACAGCGCAGTGGTGAGACTGAGGTCCTGTGAAAGTCCAGGAAAGACACAGAGCCAAGCAGTTCTTAACAGAGCCAGGCGATCAAGCACTGGATCCTGTCTAAAGTCCTTACTCACTTTGCATCAGTTAAGTTAAGGTTTCTTTCAGAATTACAACGAATGCAACCCACTTCTCATCTTTGTGTTCTCTTTCTGCCAGGGATCTGAGCAGATCTAATGCCAGAGAGATTCTTAATCTGAGGTACAGGGATAGGTTTCAGAGGGTCTGTGAACCCCTTAAAATTGGTCACATATTATGTGCGTGTGTAGAGTCATATATTTCATTAGACTCTCAAAGGAATCCATGACCCCAGAGAGCTTAAGAATCAGACTTAGATTTTTCTCAACCTAATTAAGGATTTTTAATCTTAAGAGCATCTTTTAAAACACCCTCATCAGACTCTAGCGTAGAGCAGTGTGTGGGTACTAATACCTGGTCCCTTTAAGTCTCCGTCTGGTATCCTTCTTCCCGCTGCCACTCCCCCTTTGCAGAAACAGGAACAGTGCTGGGCAGCAGTCTCCTCTTTCCTGTCCTTATTTATTTTTATTTGGTAACCCCATACTTACCCACAATAACAATATAAGCAGCCCTGTAGTTAACTGTAATAATGTGATATTATCAAACAAATGGAAATTCACATTTCCAAGGCACGCTCTCATGTTGTGATTCCGGTTCTTGGTTCAGAATGCTCAAATCTAAAAATCAGTTTCAAAATACATTTAGCAAACACTTTCTTTATGTAGGACATCGTGCTCCATGCTGAGGGAGACAGGAGGGGAGCAGGACATACAGATGAATTAAACCCAGTTCCCACCTTCACGGAGATGAGACATTTTAGGAAATGTGCAAAGTGCTGTGGGGACTCAGAAAAGAAGTAATTATTTCTTACCGGAGGGTGCAGGGAAGAAGGTCATGAAGACATTCTACCTGGGAAGTATTTCTTATCACTGAGGATGCTGTAGACTTTTACCCTCAGTAACATTACCCTCTGTTTCTGCACTTTTAAAATGAGCTGACACCTGATCAGAAATACCCAGAAAATAAGCCTAGGAGAAAAACTAGCCTTCATCACTGAATGACACAGCAGGAGAGTGGGAGCAACCAGCGTAAGAAAAGTTGTAGAACATACAGCATAAAGGAAATATAAAACATTATTTGAATCAATATGTGAACTTCTGAGAACTAGTATTAATAGAAAATCTTTATCATCATTACCATGATATTATAATTTAAAAAATCTGGCTTGAAAACAACCCGAGGCAACATGCATATTTTTCTAAACGTCAAGAAAAAAAAAATTATTTCGCTAGAAATATTTATAGGCTGTGAGGGCTTTTCTAAAATGTAGATTGAGGGGTGTGTGTATGTACATTTTTTTCTTACTAGAGCGTACATAATCAAGCATTTATTTACTGGTATGAGTCATAACTGAAATCGCTATAGTGTTTTTAGACTAATGCTTAAAAAGCAATTCCACATTCATTATAAAACCTGTACGGTGCATTGGCATGGGCTAATATATTTTCTTACTCTCTGTTCTTAGGATGAACCAGCACCTGCCAAATTTTTGAGACAGCTCACGGCTTAGAGGAAGGCTCATCTAAATAAAGGCCGGCTAAAGTGACATTGCAGGGATTTAATCCCTCTCTGGCTGCCCGTGTGACCAGAAGGCTGATTTGCAGGTTTCTTCTTTCCTGGGGTCCAGATTATTAGGTCTCTGTAGCCCTGTAACTTGCCAGCAAGAGAAGTGCAAAATGAAGAGGGTCAGAGATAAGCGCCAGCAGCAGGGACCTGGGGGCATCTGCCACATTTTCGCACAGCAAAGTGAAAGATCCTCTGGCCCTCGAAGGAAATAGCAAACTGGAACCTTTGTCCTGGGCCACAGCCACCTACCAGAGAGCATCAGACTGCACCGCCAGCCAGAAAGTTCCTGGAGCCTGATCAGGGAAGTGACTATGGTAACTGAATGTGTGACCAATTGCACAGTTAGTGCTGGGAAGTTCAACATGAAGGAAGTGTGAAACGTCTCGGGTGAGGCGGGCAGCTTTTGGTTGGGCTGGGTAGGCTCTGCTGGCCCGTTTGCCTCTGCCCTCCTCCGACTTCCGCAGGCCAGCTCTCACGGACACGGGCCTCTGGCCGTCCTCACCTCCCATCTCCCACCCACTGGGCCTCTTCCGCTCCTTCCCAACCCACCCTTGATCGGCGCCTCTTGGCTGAGATGTAGACAGGAGGCCGCAGTGACAATGACTGCAGTGTATGTGAATGGAGGCGGCCTGGTGAACCCCCACTACGCCAGGTGGGGTTGGCGGGACAGCGTGGAAAGTGGCTGTCAGACGGAGTGCAGCAAGGAGGAGGAGGAGGGGCAGGCTCGCCAGCTGACCCCCTTTGAGAAGCTGACACAGGACATGTCCCAAGATGAGAAGGTGGTGAGAGAGATCACGCTGGGGAAACGGATCGGTTTCTACCGAATCCGAGGGGAAATCGGAAGCGGGAACTTCTCACAAGTCAAGCTTGGGATTCACTCCTTAACCAAAGGTAGGATACGACCTCCCAAGGATGACCCCGCGTGGTATCGGAACCTTGTTTGTGGGTGGGATAGGCGTCCGGGGCCAAGGAAGCAAGTAAAGCATTGTCACTGAACCCCTGCTAAGCACAAGCCCGGTGCCAGCCGCTGTCCGTTGTTATGGCAGTTAACTGTCACGGTAATGGTGTAAAGTCAATGTTTTTCTTTCTACTGTACAGATAGGGAAACTAAGATCCAGAGAAGTTACCTGTGGCTTCAGCGTTTAATCTTAGATTGATTCCGACTCCCAAAACTCTCCCACTATACCATGTGGATGAATCCACTCAAACATTGAGGGGCATCTGTCCTCCTTCACTTGGAGAAATGAAGCAGAGTGTGGCTTGGTTTCATTTTTTGGCAACCTCTTATTCCAGGGCAACTCATATTGCAAGTCCTTATAACTTTTGTTTGTATTCGTGGGTCATTACCAATGACACAGAATGGCCCAGGAGACCTCTTGGATCACCACTGTTGGTGGATGTTAGGGTCCAGTCTCTCCTCCGTACCCGAGGATGCAACTACATTTGGGGGAACGGGATTTGCTCTCAGAACCTTCTCTTCTTTAAGTCTACTCTGTACTAGTTCTCAGTGTTGCTTGGTTCCTTGCTCTCCCAAAGAGCTGTGGTTGCTTGGCTACCGGTCACTCTGGATTCTAGACCAGAGGTGCCCACCACTGTGGCCTCAGGGAGGAACTGTGCAGGGAGCCCAGCAGCTCCATGCTGCCCCAACCCAGTGTGGGCACTTCCCCGAGTTACCTCTAACTTGGCTGAAGCCTAGAGACTACCATAAGGGAGTTACAAGACAGAAAAGAAATGCTTGCAACTCAATCGAATTTACCAACACGGTAAAGCCCATGGGCTCTACCGTCTCCCTGAGGGTCACTTACTGACATTTTCTCCACTGGGATCCAGCCTGCCACCATGTCTCCAAAGTCACTCTTCTTCTCCAACCCCCAATCCCATGTCCCTCCCATTCTTATGTTGGGCCTCTATAGAAAAAGCACCATAACCCCCATACACATACACACGTGTGTGTGTGCACACACATCCCAAGTCTCTGGAGCTCCGAGTCCCCTTCGATGTCGCTCTGATCCCAAGTGTCTGGGTTCATGGCTTCATGTCTCGGCCGCTCAACTTACTTACCTGTAAACTACAGTCCTCCTGTGAGCCTCCGGTTCCTCACTTATAGCATGCAGCAAGTAACAGCGCTTATTTTACTTGTAAAAGTGGACCTAGTGCTGTAGGTCACGTCTAGTTGGGACGGAGGTTGCTTTTCACTGGTCTAGAGCAAGAATGAAAGACAAAAGACCAAACATATGGGGAGATAAGAGGCCAGAAATTGAGACGGAAAACATGATTAGGAAGGGGAGAGAAGTTGGACAAAGGAATTCTGGGAGAAGGATTCGGAGAGGGGGGAGCGTCCAGTGCAGCAAAGAAGTCACAGAGGCAAAAGTCTGAGCAGAGCCTGCTGGATGTGGCCAACTCTGAGCTGTTTCCTGAGCGGGTTTAGATGTGAGAATCTAGTGCAGAAGAAGCAGGGTGGGATGGCGGGAAACACATGGACTCCAGAAGCAGACAAGTTTGTTTCAAATCCTGATTCAGTCACTTATTAGACATCTGACTTTGTGCATATTATTTAGCTTCTTTGGTCCTCAGTGACTTCAGTTATGAAATGGAGATATTGATTCTTATTTTAGAATTGTTGGGAGCATTAGAAATAACATATATGAAGTACATGACACATAGTAACTACTCAATAAATTGTAGCTATCATTGGTACAACTCTATTTTTTATTTAAATAAACTTATTTTAAAAAGACATTTAATATTATTAAAATAAGGAAAACCAACATCACTTGCACTATGAATAGACGGTAATGAAAAAAAATTGAGAGTAATGACAAAAATAAATACAATGCAAACAAATTAAAATGTTTTATTTATTTATTTATTTATTTTCCCAGCGTTATTGAGATATAATTGATATATAATATTGTATAAATTTAAGGTGTACAATGTAGTGATTTTATATATTGTAAAATCATTACGGTAAGTTTATTTGACATATCCATTACCTCACATAGTTGCAGTTTTTTGGTATATGATGAAAAAATTTTTAATCTGCTCTCTTAGCAATTTTTAAAAAGTTTTAAGGAAAATTACCAAGTAATAGAAAGTAGGTTAAAACATGCCAACAACCAGTCTGAAGCCTTCTCTTTGCCTTAATTATGGGAACTAGAACTAAAGGGGAACTAATGTGGGAATAACATTTTTATGCTGCGAATCAGTGTTATTTAAGGCTGTTTTCATGCACTAAAATCATTTTGTGCCCCTTGAGTTTTAAAGGTTCCACTTTGGGAAACACCTCATCTAGTCCTCCTGCATTTTATCAATGAGAAAATGGAAGCCCAGAAGTGGCTGTCCCCAGATCGCTGCAGAGACAGGTCTAGAGCTCAGTGTCCTTTCACTCCACCTAGCTGCCTCTGGATTTGGGTCCAGTGTGGAGGACGCATCTCTTCCATCCCCGGCCTGGATCAGCCAGCCGAAAGGGGACCACTGCCTTCTCCAACACCGGACCCCAGGCAGACTCAGGCCTGCTCGTAGGCCATTCTTCTCTCTTGTGGCAATACTCCCAAGGATGGCCCTGCCCTCGAAATGCATGCAAAAGGTCCAAGGAGACAGGAAACAATTATGGAGTGAGAGCGTATACACCCAAGACTCAGAGAAGGGCTCTTCTTGCAGCCTATTTCCCACCTGTCCGTCTCCCTGTTCAGTGTCTAAGGTGGATCTGCCAACGTGTCTTTAAGCAGCAGAAGGTAGTGCAATATTGTGGAAAGATATTGGCTTTGGAGTCAGCCAGACCTGAATGAAGTTCTAATTCTTTTTTTTTCTAGCTGTGTGACCCGAGCAAATTATTTTACCATTCTGTGCCTCAGTTTCCTCACGTATAATTGAGGAAACTATGTCAGCTATATAGGATTGCTAAGAGGAGCAAAATGTAACATATTGAATATCTATCACGTGCCTAGACAGAGCATGTAATATTCATTAAATGCTATTATTAGTCTGCTTTCAAAGAAGTCTAGGTCTTAGGGCTAAGTCACATGCCATTTCATTCATGGAACAGAAGCCTACTCAAATGAGTTCACATTGAAAGGGGTGTATCGTGTTCAGGGGAATACTGTGGATCCAGAGCCAGATTTCAAGATGTTACCGTCTTTGCCCCTTCTTTGGCCTTGATGAATGTATTCCATCTTCATACTTCTTTCCGCTGAGCGGCTTTTTCGGCTCAGTTAGAAGGTACGTGGACAAGAATGGTTGTTGCCAGTCCCTCATCTCCATAATCTCTCAGCTTTCTTGCCTGTCTCCATCCCACTAGCTTCATTCTATTTGTCAGATTTTAAAGAGAGAGACTATGATTGCCCACTGGCCAGCCAATGTCGGGCTACCTTTGAGTCAAGGGCATGCCTGTGTCAAGTCAGCTGCAGTCCTGAAGGTCACATGGCCCCTCGACTTTCTCAGCAGACCCTAAGTTCCCAAGAAGTGTCTCTGAGAAGGGAAGAGGAACAAGAACAGCAATTGGTATTTTATAGTGACTTTCTTCTTGAATTCCACAGGTTTCTTGTCTGTTGTATTACAAAATTAAGTTAATTCTAGTCCCTTGAGTTTTGGAGAATGCAACATTTTCCTGCTATGCAGTTGGGGACTTCGGTGACCTCATTGACATGCTCTCCTCACTCCTAACCTGCCACAGAGTCGCTCTATTATCAAAGGTACAAGTCACCTCCTGGCTATGGGATAGTATGTTCCAAAGGGGAGGAAGGCCAAAAGCACAGGCAGTGGGAAAATCAGTTCAACAAACAATTTAAAATAAGGCAGAAAAGGTATTGGCAGGTAACTGAGCACATTCGACTGATGCAACAGAAAAAAGAATCCCTGACCTCGCCTCCTGATTCGTAGGCCCATCCCATACTGGCCTAGTCCCAGTACCATGCCTCATCTCTCTTCTGGGGTTCTATCCTTCAGGGAGCCCTCTAGTCAAGGAAAGAGGAGAGAAATGAGAATGAAAGGACCTGAGAAGTGTGAAGGAGGGGAAAACCCAGAAGCAAACTGATGAGAGGGGATGAAGAAAGAGATGGCAGTTCAGATATTGGAAAACAGAATCTCGGGGGAGGATGATAGAGTCGAGACCGGAAGACTGTGACTCGTAAAAGGAGAGAGGACATTGGGCTCCCTTGAGCTAGCTGGCATGGAAAGAAAGGGAGAACATTCCTCTAACACCTTTACCTCTAAAAGAGGAAGGAGATTTATCAGCGAGCGGTGTGAAAGGCTTGCCAGAAATTTCACATCCCCCATCCCATTGCCAGGTCACGTCAGACTAGGTAATATGCATAGTGATTTGTATAAATACGATACCCATACAAAGCCAGCTTGCCCAGAATTGTCATCAGGTTTTCTAGGAAATATGGACAGTCTGGATAAGAAAAGGCAGGAGATTCCCAGGAGAGCAGAGGGTTTCAGTGCCAGGAGCAGCTCCTAGGACAGTAGTTTTTAGAAAGGTGCCACCTGCTTTGGTCTCTAGAAACAAAGGTCTAATACAGGGCCCTGCCGGCCAGAGTTTATTTTTATAGCTAACATCTTAGATTCCCTTGGGCCTTGTAAGCTGAAGCTATCATGAGTCCTCTTTAAGGCTGATTAAAAATTTCTCAAAAGAGATGATGCACTCGGCTTCTGAATATTTTATGTCCCATCTGTTGTCGCAAATAAAAGTATCAGAGGCAGTGGTGCCCGTCTGTTTTTCTGCTGCTGCCCTTCCTGACCTCTTCTTCCCTGCTCTTCCTCTCTATTACTCTCGTCTCATGTTTCCAGAACCCTTTCTCCTTCTCTATTTATTTATCAGTTCATTTATTCCTCCTTTTAAAAATATAATAAACACTCCTGTGTCCGTACTTTGCTATGGGACTTATGAAGAT